ACACTGCTGATGAAAAAATTAATTCAGCTGGAAGAGACATATTTTGGGGCCCTACTTTTCTACCTAATCCTTCTTTCCTTGGAAAAAGCGCTAGGCACAATGACAAAAAAAGCACTCGCATCACTGTCTACCTTCTCAATACCCCCAGCAAAACAAGCTGTATTTTAAAAGTGTGGTTTTATCACTGTAACTGTATCTACATTAAGGGATTCCACTGGCAGAGTTGCACTAGGCAAGGATGAACATGCTGATTAATGCAGCTGTTCCAAGCATTTGTAGCAGAAAAGACCTTATAAGCATGTCCACAGGGAGTTAAAGCCACATAATCACATTGCAAATCCATGCCCCCTACTTGATATCAGTTTAATTTTCCTAAGCAGATAGATGACCCTTAAGGGTCACAGGCAAGAAAACATGAACTATAACTTCCTAACTTGACAATTCATTGTCATTTTTTCCACGAAAAAGTACCGAACGAAGGTACATTCTCATATACAACACATTCTCTTGTACAGTCAACCCACAAGAAAACCAACAAAAATGAAACAAAAACACAGAGAGGAGAAGGAAAGAGAAAAATCTGAGCTCCATGTTAGGAAAAAAAAATCTCAGTGCAGGTGCTGCGAGAAAGTGAACAATGACATGGAAAATACAGGGATGAAGTGCAACATTTTGGTTTTGAGGTTTTGAATAGGAAATAAAGTTTCTGTCATAACAAACATTTTAAACAGAGACAGTGCACTAAAGCTAGCACATAATTTAAGTAAAATATATGATATAGTATCTGATGGCTCTTAAAGCTAAGGTAGCAGATTTCATTTGAAACTAGCTACAACTCTAAAGGGAGTTTCATACAAGAATACTCTCACATCCCTTGCGACATTAAAAAATCCAATATGACAAAACTATACATGACACACAACTCAGGGTCATGGAAGGGATTTTAATATGGGCCTTTTGTTATCCTGTTACTCTTCTGGGAATCAGCTTAATCTGAAAATCTCTCAATCACTCATACTGAAAATCTTAAAGCTGTTAAAATACCTCAGGCATTGTTCTGTGGCTTGCAGTATGCTCCGGAAGGTAAAGGGCAAAGAATTAACAGAGATGCACCCAGCCACTTGAGTGAAAATGAAAGGCAATCTGAACCTGAGGCTATCTTCTCAGAAGATACATGAACTGGGCATCTAGTCACAGCTTCAAGCTTGGCAAGACGGTATTGTTTTTTGCCCTTCAAAACGCAAACTTGGCATTTAAAAATGTCTGCAAGATTGTTTTACCAGATCAGGAGCCAGCACTGCCATCCTTTGGTGCCTTCTTCTAGTAAACCTCACACTTCCAAGGGATTCAATGTAACTTTGGCTTTGCAAAAGGAAATAACCAAGGAGAAGGGAGCTCCTTCTAAAGGAAGGGACCTTTAATAATCCAAATCTTCATTATTACTCTCCTTATACACTGACAGTGGACAGCAGGCCTCTCTGAATACTCTGCCACACCAGCCAGTTCTGTTCTGAAGGTTTGAAACAAGAAACTCCTCCTATTCAAATGAAGTGAAGAATCAGACAAACGAAGCCTATATTTAACTTCCTATTCACTGCAGCAGTCGCAAACAAGTTCTTGTAAACACTCTACAGGTCACAAATTTCCAGTATCTTATCTAAATGTTAAGCTGCTGAAGTAGAGCTCAAAGCTCCTTCCAACACGCTTTCTAGAGTACCACTTACTTAGCCAGTGGCCTCAGTCATTGTAACAGAGCTGTAAAGCCAAAGCAAAAAGAAAATAATTTGTTAAACCTGATCTGTTGTCAAATTGGCTTGCGTCTATTTATTAAAGTGCAACACCTGCATATACATATATAAATAAATAAATAGGTTTTGCCCCATATGCTAAAAAAGCACGGCACACATTCATTTGGAAGACACACAGACTGTGGCAAGTTTGCTTTTAACAGCAGGTCTGTCTCAAGTGTATAAAAGCTACCTTGATTTTTCACAGCTTAAATTCTTCTAAAGATACTGGAACACCGTGTTGCAGCTTCCACAAAACATCAGTCTGCCGAATCAGATGTATTCTCACAGCCGTCTGGGTTACAACACATCATGGGCCATATATTGCTAGGAAAAGCAAATTTACTCTTTAGTTTTCTTCTTCAGTTCAATACAGTATGATAACAGGTGCCAGAAGTGCACCCTCTCAGACTGAAAGACACAGACTAACAAGCACTATGCATAGAAAATAACACACAGTTCTCTCTTCTTTGATGATCGTAAGAAAACTGCAGATGATAGCGAACCTGAAACAACAGAAACTGCTCTGCACTCACGGAAGAGTCAACCTGCCAAGCTCACTACCACAAGACACTGACCTTATCAGAATTTTTAAAAGGTTTTGAATTTTCTTCTGGTTGTCATGTCACAACAGGATGAAGTACAAAAAACACAAAGTCTGGAAACACTTCACATCTAACTTGTAACCCTTAATTGCCAGCTTTTAGGAAGATATTTTAACTGCTGTGAATAAAGAGCTTGGTTTACTTTTGGCTGGTGAATGATACAATGCCCTTAACTATGTTAAATAAGAATATTTGAGTCGAGCTGCATTTACAAATCAGAATTAATTTTTAAGATGACCGGTTTTTGTTATTAGGTGAACCAAGTTGTCAACAGGTTCACTGTATTCTCAACTCCTGAAATACATATGAAAGTGTCAGTCCTAAGGATGCTACATGACTAATGAACAGACCACAGGAACAGAAATACCTGCGATCTTACTTAACTAAAGCTAAGAACAATTAAGGGGAAAACCAGAAACCCTGAGTGCTGCTATTACAGGAAAAAAAATACCAGCGTGCATAGCACCTGAAGAAGAAAGAGTGAAAACTAATCAGATTCCACATGGTGTGCAACAGTGGTACTTATTCAGTCTGACTAATGGAGTTAGAAGTTTTCTCTCAGTTCTGTAAAAATAAAAGATGCGTAAAGCATGCCTGATAACGCTTACTGGTTCAGATTTAGCTTACCTTCATATTTTAATAACTGTATTCAGGTCAATGCTTGTGGTTAGAACTGTGAAATATTGAGACCTCAATCACATAAACAAGATTTGTACCCAACCAAAGAAAGGGCCACCTGCACAGCATAAGAAAAAACACTTACAGTATTTGGTCCAAATGGGAAACAAAGCAAGCCATTCCAGTATTTGCAAAAGTAAGGGTATCCATAATCATTTCGTATATGGTCACATTTAATCTAAGCAAAATCTGCATATTCACTATTAACCTGGTGTGGGGTTTATTGTTGGAGGTGTGGGGGTGTTTAAGAAACTATCTAAAAACACCTGCATATGTAGTGTTTCAACACAAACTGAGCTTCAGACTGCTTTAACCAGTCTTTTGAGTCTGTCCCAAAAGAGTTAAGTTAAAAGGTCTTTTTTTTCCCCCTGTACATTTGTGGGATGAGTCAACCCCCACGAATCTGACAGGCATACCTTCCTCAGATCTGCCACGTTGCTTTACACAGACCACAGTTTGGAAAAGCGAAATACACCCTCCACTAGGCAGCAAGTGTTGTAAGGGCCTTCCAAAGCTCCAGGACTTTACCAGTTTTACTTACAATCCACGACAGTACTCAAACCAACACAAGAGCACAATACCTCATCTGCTGCAATAGCTCCAACATTTTCATTGAAGTTACTCTTTGGTTTGATTCAGTCACTGACTAAGACACAGGACTATGTAGCCCCCTAGGCTTCTCTCCCAAATCCTTCCTGCTTTAAATAACTCACTGACATCTGCATTCACTGGTGCACTGATTTTGGTGCCCGAAGCTGCTTATCGCCTATAGTTAGCTGTAATGAGATCATGACTGCCTCCCCACACGTGCTTAAGCTGCTTAGACAGTACTGTCAAAGGACACAGAACAAACAGCCAGCCCTATCTTCTTGTGCCTGTCTAAGATTTCTAAACTCACTTTTTGGAACATTTGACAAGACTTTGATACCAACAGTGGACAATGCTAATCGGAATTAAAGATTACATTATATTTTGCATAAACCCACTCTGGCAGTTTAAAAAAATGGGAAAAATGCAGCTCAGCATAGAACTACGGGGAGGGGGAAGAAATGTCACAGCAGACTGTGTGAGCTATACAATAGTTCACCTTTAGATCAGCACTTAAGTCAGCTGTGAAAAACACACAGGAGCATCCCCTGCACAGAAGGCACCTCATCTCTCCTCTCCCCACCCCAGGAAGGTAGTTGTGGAGGTCGTCATCTTTGGTCATTACCTGCTGCACTTCAAACTAGCAAAGGCCATTAGTCACACAGGTCAGTGGCCTCCCCACCAGAAAAGTGAAGTGTGTGACACAACCACTATTTAAACACGCTGTCTCTCAAGAAAACAAGTCTGCTTCGAGTCTGCTGGCAAACAAATGCTTATACCACAGGTACTACTACTGAGTCATATCTTTGTTGATAAAGAACTGGGGGAAAACAGATATGCTATACTTTCTTCCAAATTTAAACAGCACAAAGTAACCCCTTTCAGCCTGGAAGACTATCAAGCCAGCCTATCATCTTCCCGCAAACTAACCTCAGAATAGAAAGGAAAAAATAAAAACCAGACAACGATAGAGTTCTGAAATCATCGTAAGATAATTCAGCTGCAATTCAGCCACCTAAATGGCCAGAATTGCTAGAACATAGGAGTTAGCCTCCAAATCTTGGAAGCTTAGCTCTTATTACAAAGAACTGACACCGATTTGATTAGAAGTTAACAAATATAAAACAGGACTGACCTTTTCACTCTGTTCTAGTGCACTTACCCAGGTGTTCCTGTAGTATCCTCCAGAGGTAAGAGCATACCTCCCACAAACCGCATCTACATATACTTGCTTAAAGGGTAAAATTACAAAGCAAGAGGTAAAAAGCAAGCAGCTTATTTCTCTTTGCACGATATTTAAGATGGCTGCATGTGTACTCTGGGCAAAACAGAAAAAAATTACCTTAGAGATGTCACCCAAGCTCCGTCTGTTGAGCAGTCACTGGAATGTGGAGCCAACCTCTCACAATCAAGAGGGAGCAGGACGCCAGAAGCAAGTCAGCCTGCAAGATGTTGTATGGAAACGAGTTAGCAAGTGCTAAATTAGCTTTTATTTACATCTTTACTTGCTCATCAATTCAGAACGTTTGGGAGCACACTTTCCCTTGAGTCTGGGACCAGAATTCATAGTGAGCTCCTTTCAGGATGCAAATGCTCTCACTCATTCCTCTGGGCTCCGACAGATGCTCTTTACCAAACATACCACTGGGGCTGAGGGGACCGCTGCCCCCACCTGCCTCCTCCATCCCTCAGCTGAAGATTACCAACCAGTGGATGGAGCAAAACAGGATGCATGCCCGTTCTTCATCTGGCCTGGTTCACAAGACACTGATGGGTATTAACAAAGAAAGGTTGAAGTGTAGTATATTAAACTGTGACAGCTGACCAGGTACTGCTGCAGGCCCTAATACAAGGAAGGTAGCGTTTGGCAAAGAAGTAGGACAGCTGGTGGAGGAGATAACCTTTCTAACTACAAAAGCTAAACCAGAGACAGCTTATCTACTGGAGCTCTCAACCACGTGTAGTAACATCCTACCAGGATAGGCACATTACATCTCATAGCCTTTTTCACTGCTTTTATCAGATTTGGTTGACATAGATCTTCTACTAATATAATTATGGCAGCTACACCTATGTTATTTTTGAACAGAAACAATTGCACTTATGTTAACTACCGTGAATAGCATTATACAGATAGAGAGGCACTGTACAATAGCAAAGCTTATTCCTTTACTCCCAGAGAAGGGGATAAAACAATTTGTTGTGAATGAAACTGACGACATAGTGACGGGGGTTATGCAAAATAAGAGAAAGCTTAAAGAAGCTTGTCTTTTATACACAGTTAATGCCACTCAAAACACATATACACAAGCCTACAGAAATAAATGAAGGCAAATGACTTGCACCTTAGTACTATCTGCAGAGTAGTTCGCACTGATGGGGACTATATAGGAAGCACAGGCACCCCAACACGCCAATTAAGAGAACTGCATCTATTAGAAAGTACATCTACCCGCACAGCACACTGGGAAAGCCAAAAATAACAGCTGCTGCCACATCAGAACAGCACAAGCACTGCGTACAGGCGATGCCTGCAAAACAGAAACTAAGCAGCCATGCACAAACACTTCCTCTTCCTCCCCCACCACCCCTACAACAGCAGCAACAAACCTGAGATTAAACACTCGCCAGCATCCTGTTCTGCATTCCTGTCACATCAGGAATATAAAAGAGGGAGACTGCTGGCTGCTCCTCCATACATCTGAAGGGTTCCTTCAGTTTACAGCAAGTAATACTAGTACTTGACATGATTCTTTCACAGGTTTCTGTTGCGTTTTCTTCTCTTTCACTTCTTTTCTCTAGCTCACCCCTTGTATTTACTAGGCTTGTTTTTGATACATTCCTTCTCACCAACTGAGAAGTCAGAAATAAAAGCAGTTGTTCCTAGGCAAGTCACATTATATAAACAAGCAAACACAGAGCCAGGGCTCTACTGAGCTGCCACACGCAAACTCTGCAAGTCAAGTTCAAATCTAAACCCTGCCCAGCACCAAGACTGATGGTGTGACACTGTCAAATGCAAGAGTAAACAAATCAGGCCACAGTGTCCTGTCAATACTAACTTCTGAGACTATAAATCCCAGCATCAACACTCAACCGTGATGCACGTCTCAAACACGTTACAAGCTAATTCCCGATGAGCAGACTGGGGGAACCCAACGGCAGCAAGTGAAGTGCCTGGGTTATGATGCAATGCCCCAGTAACGGCCCAAACAAGGCCGCTGTCAGATTTTCTACGGCTTCAGTATCTGCATTTCAAACACAGATGGAAGAAACGTACCTCCTCTAGAACACAGGCTGTGAACATTCAACTTCAAACTTACCACCTGCATTTCTTATTCCAATGGAAACCACAAGACAGTACCACCCCATACCCCAGTGCGCCAGTCAGAACTCACCAGATCCACAACAACCTTTAAACAGAGAAATCAACTAAAACTGAAATCTAAAAAGACAGGCGATCAAAACTTTTTACAAACATTTGGTGATCCATTGAACCAAAGAGACTGTGTCCTGTAAGCAGGTGGTCAACAAACAGCTCCAAGCTCGTACAGGGCTTGTCATATCGCACTACTCAAGCTCAACAAGGTCACATTTTCAGAGTTTGATAATTCTACCTGAAATTAATAAGCTCCGTATGTGGGGGAGGGAAGAAGAGAAGAAATAAACTAAGCAGCTCAGACGGGATGAGAATAGCATGCAATGCATGATTAAGAAGAAATCACAATGCTTGTTCAGAAGGCTAATTAACTGATTAAGGGTGCAGGTACTACTTCAGCCTGGGCATTTTTTGACCTCCAAGTGCTTGCTATTCTAACCTTGACTTCTCACTACGTACAATGCAATACAGAATAACTTGCAAGTCAGTTGACTTACAGAGTCTGCCATGAGAGGGGATCCCAAAGTACATTTAATTTTGCTTTCTAGAATATTTTTATAAGAAGGACATGCCCAGTACCGTCATCCTGACGATGAAGCACAAAACAATACTATTCACAAAAGTAGTAGGAAAGAAGCATGGACACTATGTTCCATTTAATTTTTAAATGTATGTAAATATGTATTTTAAAATTGTATTTTTATAACTAAATAAATATATAAAGACACATTGTTGCACTGTTTTACAGTCACAGTGAACAAGAATAAGTTTACAGTCTGAACAAGAATAAGACTCCACTCCACCACCAGCCCCATGTTCCCACCATTGCCCTTGCACCAGCAAAATCATTTAAGCACCCACAAAGCTGGGGAGAAAAAAAAGTCAGTTTGTCTTCTTTGATCAGTGCGTAAGTCAGGGAACCCTGATTCCCACCTGCACAAACACCTCAGCTGGCACCAGTGACAGGGCAAGAACGTCCTGTTGGTTGCAGTCTATACTTACATGAGCTTAAAGTGACTGTGAAGCTACGCATGGGAGGTGGCACAACCAAAACTCCTGATGACTGGAAGCTGATCCTAGAAACTGTCCCCCTTCTCATCTCAACAGTGAATCATGCTCACTTGCTCTTTTTCTATGTAAAACACACACAAAACTGCCACAAGGCGCCTACTGGATAAGCAGAGTAGAAACTAACCTAGGAAAGACACACACAGTGTTCAGAAGAGGGCCCTACCAGCATATCCTACCCTTTCCACCCCTGTGGTCATCAGAGATTCCTATGGTAATGACCTCGTACACATCAAGGAGCCAAGGATCACTTCCCCCGCTCTCCCAAAAGCCCTTATCAGACAGGAAACAAAGGCAACGCCATGAAAAGGAGACTTCAGATCCGCCTAACAGGCTCTAACCAGGATGGCACAGGCTGTTCATCCATGCACCTGGAAATGGTTGTGCTGAAAAAGCTGGGGAAGGTAAGAAATGCTCTCTAATGCTATCAGAAGAAAAATTAGCATTAGGACAATTCAAAACATTGACAAAACAAGAGTTTTACACAGCTGAAAGAGCAACCCAATTTTATCTTGCTATGTACAGAGTTCACACTTAATCTTTTCAAAATGTACCACTTTCCTTCCAGCTCCAAAACAAAGCACTTACATTAGGTCAGTGCTAAACTAACCCAGCCACAGGAAGACATTTCTCAACCTCAATAACAAGGAACTGTTACACAGGATTAGGATGTCCCTAATAGACCTATTTAGGGTTATAGTGACAACATCTAATAACTGATATATCTAATTCTAAAACACTTCCAAGCTCCTGACAGAATTTCTGTAAAAAGGAAATCAAAGTTCAGTGATATATAACAAGAATACAGTATTTTTCTCCATCAAAAATCTGACCATACGCACATAGATCAGTGTATCAGCTGCAGATGACAGTTCAGTACAAGGAGACTTGCACAAGACATTATCATATATTATTTTGTCAGACAAGCTACCAACTACGTTTACACAAATAGGCCTACCAACTATAGAAATATTACATTAAGAATGAACAGAGACCCAAGCCCACACCGTTTTGGCACCATTCAGTGCTTCACTAGCAAAGGCCAATCTTGGAATTCAGCTTTGGAAGCTCTGAATACCAAGTTAAGCCAGGTGAACCTGAAGGGAGGTAAAACAGATGGAGCAGAAACACAGCAAGACAGGCTGAAATGAGAAAGGCAGCACATACTAAAGCATATTACTAGAAAGAAAAATGGGGGCATCGCTGATTCAGAGTTTTAAGATGGAGGGACACCGAGCCTGGCACCAGTTTAAATTCAGAGTAGCTGAAAACTGAACAGGAGTCAGTACCACCTCTCCTAACCCAAGTCCTACTTGGAAACCCCAGGGGAGGTTGTTGGTTACGGTCCAGGTCTGCAGACCCACGAGCACATCCGCCCCCGGGGACTGCCAGGCATCTTCCGGTAACCACTGGGGCAGCCAGCATTACCAGAGCCTGCCCACACCCCCTCCTTGCAGGGGTGGCAGTACGTTGGGATGCAGGAAGGGACCCCAACCCCACCAGCTTCCTCACCATGTTGGTTTCATGTTACCACCGTGGTTTGCCGAGTTCCTTCCTGCACGCTGTTCCTGTAAAAGGGAAGGGCACAAAGGGAGGGGACGCTAGATCTGCTTGCCGGGCAGGGCCCCCGGCAAGGAGCAGCACGGCCCTGCCCAGGCACCGTGCTGCCCACGGGGCTGCCCTTGCAGAGCCCTGCTCCCAGAGCTCTCCCCACTCTGGGGGACGACCCTCCCGCCCCAGCTCTGCCCCAAACGGGCCTCGCACGGGGAAGCACCTGGGTCGTGCCTCCCCACACACCCCGCTAACAAGGACGCGCCTGGCTCCCCCCTTCCCCTCCGCACGGGACCGCGCCTGGATTCCACTCCCCTGGGTCCGTCCCTGCCTCCCCCACGGCACGGCCCTCGGTCCCCCACCTCACCCCGACTCTTCA